AATTTACAAGTTCAAAAATAATAATATTTTTAATCTAAAATATATGCTCTCCACCTCGAATTAGTGGTGACTTGCCCTATACATCATACATCATTCCTTTAACAATAGAGTCATGCCAGTCATCTATCTAACATCTTTTGGGAAAAAATTTTTGAATTAAAATAACAACTTCTGGTTTATATCAGAAGTCCTTATATAATTAATTGAGACTTCCTGCCCCTAAGGTTCCCATATCTTGTCTTGTCTTTCATCTATCTAACTACATTCTCAAGATTAAAAAAGACAGATGAACAGACAACAGTGAAAACTTATAGGTCTACAATTTTTTCAAATTGCAGCCCAATGAACAAATGACATATACAAGAAAATATTGTGCTTGTGTTTGTACCTGTAAATACCCTTAAATCCAAGCATACAAATCTAGAGAGCAAGAATTTCTTCAGATAATTTTAATGCTATGAGTTTATTCACAAAAGTGAAATTGCAACACCACAAAAGAATGCACTTAGCCACATGCACATTGCAGGACTGGCAAAGGTGAGATATGGAAATGATTAAAACAACAAACAAAGATATGTAACAGATATCTATTTATTCAGTAATAAATATGGCCATATTCATTACTGCATACTATCAATGAGGCAATTAATGGTTTCCGAGGTATCCATTGCCAAGCTGTGTCCACTGAAGTGTACATGTCATCTTTGGTATGTAGTGGTGATTACTGGAACACCATGTCAGATGAAATCCTTCAGGTGTTCAAAGGAGAGAGATCCAGTGAGGCTGCTGACTAGGAAGGATGTGAATTCTGTTCAGGCTGATGATAGTCCACCATGTGATGGCAGTTAGCATTATCTTGCTGGAATACTGTTTTGGAAGCAGCCTGCATCAGTGGCCAAACCACATGCCCTGCATTTTGTGTGATATACTGGTCCACTGTCAGAGTACTGGAAATGTGCACCAGGGCTGTCCACTGATCAAACACGATGCCTTCCCAAATCAAGATGCCCTGTGTGACACTTGGCAAAAAGAGCTAGCATGTAGTGTTCCTTGGGATACTACCATACCTGTCTATGGCTGTCATTCCTCTACAGACAGAAGCAGGATTCATCTGTAAACAATACCCATGATAATGACACCACACCAAGTGTGCAGTCCTGTGTTGAGCAGTTAATGGCAGCCTGGTTCTGGTTGCCATGCATGCAGCCTGACTTCATGTAACCTGTTGCGAATGGTTGGGTGGACACAAATGCATCCATTGATGGCAAAAGGTGGCTTTGGATGTCATGTACCTTTGCAAACTGGTCCCAATGGGCATTTGGAAAATATGCCAGTCTGCACACTGTCATGCACCAGTTCAATCCACTCCCTCTTTGAAGTGTTGGCAGATGTTCCTGTGTTCTTGTGTCAAACATAACCAGATGGTACTCACATGTAAAAACCATGCACATCAACAAACTAAGGTCGTGCAGTTCCAGGATATGGTCTCATTCCCCAGCCGTCAACTGGTGGTATCCAATTCACTGTTGTCTCTGAGGCATTTTTTTTTATGTATCTTCAAATGTTCAGTTGCCATAAACCGTCATTGATAGCATATATGGCTTGAGCTGACTATTGATCTTCATAACCCAAAACTGGTACCACATGATCCAATGCACATGCAAACTTAATCATTGCATATCTCTGTCACTTCTACCAATCTTGCAATTTTCATTTGACTATGCACATTCCTTTATGGTGTTGCAATATCACTTTTGAGGAGTGTAATCATATCAGTAATAAATTTGCATTAAAGAATGACAAAAAGTAAGAATTTTAACATAAAAATTTATTATTAAATTTATGTATTATTTATACTAATATTATAAAGAGGTAATGTTTGTAGTTTGTATGTAGGGGTAATCTCTGAAACTATTCATCCGATTTCAAAAATTCTTTCACCAATACAGGTATACCTTGAGTTATGTCGTTCTCGATTATACGTCGTTTGTCAAAAAATATATGGAAAAATAAAATACAAGTTTAAGTCATTTTATTCAACTTTACGTCCATCTGCCACAAATATTGAAGTCGTAATATCACTAGAAAAGTGTTAAAGCACATAAAATCATATTAAAATATGTACATTTACAGTAAATGTTAATATAATCATCATAAATCCTAGAGAACGAAACACGAAAGCATCTGTGTATCTTTGTTGTCGTCTTATTTAGCGGTCTTTAAGTGTTCAATATTGGTGTTTTTCATGGTAGCTCCAATATCTACCGTTTTGCGTCGTTGTCAGTGCTACTCGATATTGGTAAATTTCATATAAATTAGTTTATTTTCTACTGTTGGAAGATAATTTTAATAACTGTATTTGTTATTTAACCTTGCATAAATCATCTTATTTTATAATATCTTAGAGCAAACCACATTCACAAATAAAGAGTCCGCAACGTACTGTAAACATGTACATTACCAAGTATGTACTGTATGTACATGAATTCGTAAATTTAAATTACTTTTTTCTGAACTGTATTAAAAACTAAAATTTATTTGTTTGTAAACTTAAAATAGATTCTTATTAACCATATATTATTAAAAAATGCATTTATAAATAAAATACAGAACTGGGAACAATTATTTGTGGTTTAGCCTAGTGACAAGTAAATTTGACTTACATCATTTTTCGACTTAAGTCACCTCTCCTGGAACCAATTAGCGACATAAGGAGAGGTATACCTGTATTTAGAATGGAACTTCAGGGTACATAGGCTGTATATTATTATGTTAAATATTCATATAAATTAAAAGATATCATCTAGGATTAAGGCTTTTATGTCCAACAGATGGCGCTATGAGTACGATGACCTAAGTTTGCTTTTCTGTGAGAATGAACTATAGTAGATCATCTTCTATTTATCTATATAAATAAAAATGTAATGTTCGTTTGTTCCTACCGATTCCTTTGAAATTTTGACACAACGCTGCATTCGAATACACACATGTTTTTATATAATATACATGTCGAAATTCCCCCCACTGGGGGAAGATGGACAGAATTAAGGCTTACCGTGAAGAATGTGGCTTCTATTATACTATTTTAGATGCGGTTTTTTGCGTTTTTGATTGTGTTTTAATAGGGTACATCAACAGAATATATACTAAAAAGGGATTTTTCAATATTCCCCTTTGGGGGAGAAAGACAGGATTAAGGCTTACCGTGAAGAACTTGGCTTCTATTATACTATTTTAGATGCAGTTTTTTGCATTTTTGATTGCATTTTAATAGGGTATGTCAAGAGAATATACTTACACTAAGAAGGGATTTTTCGAAAAATTCCCCCTACAGAGGAAGTGTTATACATTTATAATAGATACATTTTGAGCCACAACAACGCGTGGCGGAAACTGCTAGTAATGTATATATATAATAATACATATATATATAACTTATACATATATTATAAGTTACATAAGCTACAAACATACTATTATGTCCTTCTAATGTGACCTTTATCTGAAAACATTAACTTTAATCATAGAATACACTTACATAATAAATGGTTGATCTTATTAATAGATCATACTCAGAGTACATTCATAAAGTCAAACAAGTTAAACAAATTACTAATGAACATTCATGCTCTATATTCACGACAGTTCAATGAAATTCACAAAGAAAATGCTAGTGAATACTAAAATTCACACCATCCTCTCACTTTCCAGCTTTCACTGATTAAAAAAAATGAATGTTTTCGGCTACATTCAGTGGCCTGCTTCAGATTAAACGATCACCCACTGTATTTTAATTCAAAGATAATTACATCAAAGAAAAACAGCATTATTCCAAACTTCAAACCTGTTATAGACGTTCAATATAGAATCTCCTTAATCTGACACAAGCCACCAAAGGTAGCCAAAAATGTTTGATTTTTAATCAATGAATGCTGGAAAGTGAGATGAAAATGTGAATTTTAGTATTTGAAAGATAGTTCCAGCTTTAGAATTAACAAGAGAAAGTTGGTTCCAATCACAAAGAAAATGACATCTAGCAATACTGATATTTCTGAATTGACTCTACAAATTCTAGATTAAAAGATGAAATTATAGAAATAACTGCCCATACAGAGAAATCTAAAAGGAAAAAACACGAATACACAGCAACACACACGACTTCAGTTTCAAAAATTGATGTTAAAATGTCCAGTAGAAATAAGAAATAACAATGATACCATTTATATATACCTCAATTGACTTAAACATATCAATAGTATAAATACTAAGATAATCAAAAAGAAATTAATAACAATTAGAGAAAAATATCTTCCAAAATCAGAATTATACAGAGGGGACCAAAAAGATACATACTCATTTTTATTAAATGTGTTTACTAAAAGTCATAATGAGTGAAATGTGAATGATGTCATCATCATTCTTTCTTTTCTGGATATTGTGATTGATTCATTTACAAGAAAATGGCTACTTCTATTAATAAAATCAACACTGTAAATGTTGCCAGTTCATTGTTATCCAAAGCAGTTTTCTTAGATTGCTTAACATGGACTGATATTTGTATCATTTCACTTTTTAATTCCAATTTACACACTTGAGTAGATTTAGAATCAATAATATCGCTGGATGTCATTTTCTTCACCATACGCTAATGCTTTCCTTCATGAATTTTGTTAGAGTTTCATTTGAAAGATCGTCAGCATTAAGCATGCACATTGAATGGAATTAGTAGTTTATGACCGATTTGCTTAACTTTACAAATGTATTCTAAACAACACGATTTTTTATTTCTTTAAAATAATTATTTTTCTTGCTGTTCATATTTGATTTATATTATTTCAGATTCATTTAAATTGCTATATGTTTTATTTCACAATAAAAACATTTTAAAACTCTCAGAAAAAGCAAGTACTAGTTTTCTGCCATAATCAATTGTTTTTTAAAAATGAATATAATTTTTTGTTATTTTGTATAAACAGATAGATCAATATTAATCTACTCACCTTTTTACATCAACTGGATTATAAAAAAATATTCTTAAAAACCTTTGATCTTTTTCATGATATCCGTAGAAAGGACTACACAATAATAACATATTATTATCTATTGACATAGTATATTATAAATACTATTAACAAAATTAAATTTAAAATTATTTTAAAATATTAAAATAAAAACTTACATTCCTGCTAAGAGAGAAATTTTATATACATGCTGTACATGGGAATAATTTCCATTTGCCACATTTAAAGCTTTATCTATGCTTAAAGCTAACTGCTGTATGAATTTTTCGGGTCGTTCGTATCCTCCTCCATCAAAAGGTATACTTATGTAGGGAAAAACTCCATGAACGTGTAAACAAGCTTTTTTACCTAAAAACAATTAACATTAATTTAAAAATTAAACACACACATATATATATGAAAATTCTGTTTTTTAAACAAAGTGAATGAAACCAATTTCCAGCATAAAATTATAATAAAATGTTTGTGTGTGTTAAATGAGCATCTTAGGGAGTTTGCCTGAAGATGACCATTTAACATGGTTGAAACATTTGCTTTCTTATAATTTTGTGGTGAAAAAATGTTCATTTGTCTTGTTTATTAAGTACAGTATTAGCTTGTTTTGTGTTGTTGATTGTATGTTGTTTTATTGGAAATGAACAAATGTTCTATAATAACATTCCAATAAACTTCCAAATGTCAACTTAATATAAAATATATTTAGTTAAAGTTTGAAAATTTCATAAGAAAAACTGTGTTGGGCAAAAGGATCTCTCTCCATAAAAACTGAAAATTAAGCAGGTAATGCATATTCAGATGACAGTGGCTCACAATGTCAAACCACAAGTTAGACTTGTGTCTTGCCAAACTTACATTTTACTTCCTGCAAAAAACTTTTCATTTGCTCACCATGTACATACAAATGACATTATAATATTCAATACATTGTACCGTACATACAATATTATATAAAAAAAACTTGTAAATATACAATATTAACTATGCAAATTTACAATATAAAATGATCTCGTCATCCAATAAATATTCATTCATTCATTCACATGGCATCCTCTTTACAGAAGGTTGTAGTTGATGCAGTTTTTCATCACTCTTCACAGCTGTAGGCTTTTACCAAGCTTGAGCCAATCCATTTTTTTATGATGTCCTGCCATGCTAGCCTAGGTCTTTCCTTTCTCCATTTGCTAGATACATCTAGCAAATGATACTATCGCTCTATCCCGGCAGATGCTTTCCAACAATCATGGTACATTAATGCTGCGATTGCTGCACTCATTAGAAGAGCATTACTGCTTCTGTCGACGCAGCTAGCAACAAAAATCGAATTAGACATCATCATAGTAGCGGTATCGCTTGCAGGATTCACACATGGCAAATATGAACATGTGCTCCGTAAGGTAAAAGAGTCCCTATATCCATGTACCACGCTGTACAGAAAGGAAAAAGCATCCGTGATCCAGTCATCATTGCCGTATCTTGGACCAAACTCTAAACGCATCAGCCGCATATTCCGGCGGTATAATTTCATACTACCCATAACCCCCTACCAAACCTACGCAGGTGTATCTGCAATGATTGGGACAGGTTAACCACTTTAGAAAAGTCAGGGGTTTACACGATACACCTAGAAAATCCAGCAACGGGAGCTATTACAACATACATAGGAGCAACAACAAGAATGCTCGCCTCCCGCCTTGCTAAGCATCAGGATGACATGGCCAAAGGAAGATGTTCTACAGAGCTCGCTAAAAAAGTTCTCGAGCAAGGCTACAACCCGTTATGGCCCAGAACGGCAATAATTAAATGCTGCAATGATCGAAGGCTGGTGTTCATCTGGGAAGCGCTTCTCACGGCTACTTCAGAAGTGTGCAATGTTCCCACCCTCGATCTACTCGGGGTATGGATTGCATTATATCAGCGTGTAAAAAAACGAAACGTGCCTAACATCATATCGCCAATGCGGTAGCATTTCCACGCATGCGCTACTAGCATCGTAAAATATAAAGATTCAAACATATCAAAAACTAGTTGTATGTTTTTAATGGAACTTCCGGACACCCACTGTATTCAACAAATTCTACAAGTATGGGAGCCTTAATTTAATAAAACACAATAACTGTTTTGATATTATTGTTGCAGAGAGGTGTGTTCATGGGCTCTCCTTTATCAGCCATACTTGTGAAATCGGTTATGCATAATATAGAGTTTAAGGTTTTGGAGCTCTCCTTGCAGTACATTATCCATTATTATGTTTGCATTATGTAGATAATGCATTGATTGCATGGGATGGAACACACAAGCTGTTGAAGTTTGTAAGGTTATTTATCCATCCATACATTTTACTGTGGAACAAGAAGACCAATATGCAGTTAATTAATTGAGTAAAGAATGAGCAATTAACGTTTATTGTAATAGTGACCTCTGAATTTTTAAAGCTCTCTATTTTTATAATTGCAAATTTATATTGTTTTCTTGATATTGCTTGACTTCCAACAAAAACTGAATATGTGAATTCCAAATTCTATTTGGAATTCTGTTAGCCTGAAGAAGACAGCATTGCATTGCTGAAAATACTTGCTTTGTTTTTATATTGTAATTGTTTTTATATATTATTGAATAATTTAACACTGAAAGACAGTTTGTATTCTTTTATTCCTTATAAGTACAGCTGTCCCTTGATAGTCCAACGCACCTCCCTTCAAGGTACCCGTCCTTGTTACGCATCTGCTTGCACAGAAGCATGTCACAACGTGAATCTCCCCACCCAATTCTTACACGATGACACACATTTCATGTGTTTTCCGTGAGCAGTTCTGTTCGAACAGTTGGAGTGGGGAATATTGTAGGCTATTGCTAGCAAAACAATGCCAAATATGTAATCACTTTCGGTAATCTGGACACTTTTGGTAATCTGACATCCCTTTGGCCTCATACCTGTTGGATTATCAAGGGACAGCTGTATTAACCTGGATTAAAATAAAACTCTTGAAAAGATACCAAATTATTAATAATCTGAATTTGTGTGTGTGTGACTACTGAAACATTTTATAATAGGGTAGGATAAAAATGAAAAATATGTTAAAAGTCAAACCTCCATATAGCATCTTTCTAAATACTGCACCCTCATAAAGTGCCAATGAATACTTGTAAATGGATTGTGAATTATATCTTCTTTACATCAATTATTCTATGGTAAAATAGGTTTATTTTAAAATATCACAGTTTTGAAGAATCTGTTAATGACATTAAGTGGGGACTTTGTGTATATTAAAATGTTGAATTTAAAAGTTAATTATGATTAATAAGGCTCATCAAGAATACTCTATTTTTAAAGGAAAAAATACTTTTAATGCATAAGCTGCACAAATTCTGAACCACTTAATGCCAATACAGCTGTCCCTTGATAATCCGATAGGTATGGGACCAAAGGGGTGTTGGATTACCAAAAGTGTCCGGATTACCGAAAGTGATTACATATTTGGCATTGTTTTGCTAGCAGTAGCCTACAATATTCCCTACTCCAACTGTTCGAACAGAACTGCTCACAGAAAATACATGAAATGTGTGTCATCATGTAAGAATTGGATGGCGAGATTCACGTTGCGACATGCTTCTGTGCAAGCAGAGACATAACGAGGATGGGTACCTTGACGGGAGGTGCATTGGACTACTGAGCATGTCGGATTACAAAACATCAGACTATCAAGGGACAGATGTACTTGCAAATGGACCTTTCCCATAAATATTAGCAAATCTAAAATAAAATGTGAGATCTGGAATTTTTATAAACCTAAAATTTTAATTATTTCTACTTCTGTTTTATAACGGATTGGTTAGAAAACAATCTTAGCTAAGAACATTTGAAACTCTCCTTCCATAACTATCAACATTCTATTGTTTCCACACAGCCTAAAACTCGACTTGCACGAAAGTTTATACTTAGCATCCAAATTTCATCACTTGTTCTGATCCCGGAAACACATTCAGTCCCCCTCTCAGGGGAGTCTCTTAACGAAAGCTGGACCGACGTCATCGAATACCGTCGAGGAGAATCCACAAAACTGCCGAAATTCCGAACCTCCAACATTGATATCGTCTGTCACCACAGTTGCGAACTTTTTACTTGTGCAAATTTGGGATGCTTAAGAACATTTCTTGGATATCTGTGTGCCATCAATAGACTCGAATTGCCGTGGAAACCTATAAAGAGGTATGCAACCCACTATAAACTCTCTCTCGAGCCCTCAAGTGTTTTAGCGTCAAAATTGGTATTTGTAATTCCTGTTGATCTTGTTTGTTTTAATAAACCTTGTTTTAGTTATTAAATGGTGTCCTCTTTTACTCATATACTGCCTTCGCCTTATCGTTGACCCCGAATACTCTCCCTCCACTCGACCGACATAAGAAGTCCAGGCCCTTGGGACCAACAATCGTAACATAGCCATCTTGACAAGTGAGCAGGTTTAACGACCTGTTGCAGGAAAGAGAGGTGAGACAGCTCCGACCTATACAAATCTAAATAATAGCAAATCATTTAGTATCTGTGCACATGTAGTACATGTATACAGAGCAATTTATTTTGTTCTACTGTGAAAATATTGAAGCAAGCATATAATTTATATTAAATTTTTAATTTTTAAACTCTCCAAACACATTAAAAATAATTTTCAAAAACAATTTATGCAAAGTCTCCATGACAAAGCATCAGATTTTGAAAAGTCATCATTACACAGAATATAGTATTTATTTAAATATAAATTTTAATTCTGCCACTGAATTTTAATTAGCATTAAAAATACTGATGTATAAAAAACAAAGATAAAATATTAGATAATGTATCAGTTTAACATATTGAAGTTATACTCAAAAAGTATCTTACTAAATGTAACATTGCAATAGCCAAACTAAAGAATTCTGTATTAAGTTTGTTAACAACCATTGATTAACTATCATTCCACTAAATTTTAGAAGCTTAACTCATAAGCAACTTTGTAAATTTTAAAATTTTCATGGTAATAGTCATAAAATTTTCATTTTGTTACAGTATTCATATAATTTATTGATCACTTTGTACCAAAAATAGCACATAAATCCAAGTCTTTAGTTATCCAAGAAACCTGTGGACCATATCATCTTGGATAAATGGAACTCTATTGCATATTCTTAATGTCTGGATTTTCTTTTCAATATTACTTAAAATTTAATTTAGTTTCATTTAATATAGTATATCTATAATCTATCTTCAATTTTGTATTAAAAAAGCTTTATAAAAAAAATGTAAATATGGTGAAAATTTAAAAAAAATTAAATTTATATAATGTTTTAATGTTATAAGTCTTAAAGAGAAAGATTATTGTTTATTGTAATACATATTATGTTCTTTCAATAATTATGCTAAATCTTAGCTCAACTTAGTAAATTATTTTAATCATTTACATAGTTATTATAGACATTTTTAAAATCTAAAATCATAAATGAAATGAAGGGAAACCTGAATATATCCTTTTATTTAAATAAAAAGGACATTTTTTTTTCTATTATCATTGATATTTCTCAATTAATAGTATCTTTGTGGTTTTATTTTCTAATAAGGATGTTATACAGACTAAATATAAATTATTTTGCTTTTAAATAAATCAACTAGCATTCAAATAAACCTGAAGGTCTAAAATAAATTTTGAATAAAACATTTTAAAAACTGAATAAAGATTAATTAAATATATGCTAAAAACTTGCTCAAAATAAGATTTTTCTGTAATAATACATTTTTCATCCTGTATATATTGGGAGGATAATTTTATATTATCATCAACTAAATGAATTAAGATCTAGTCCAATAAATCAGCATTCCATACTGTACAAAAATGAATAAAAAAATTGAATTCTATCTTAAAATTTTTATTGAATAGTACAAAAGTATATAACTTACACCTTACATCCATCAATGAGTTTAATTTCTATCAAAAATGCTTATGATTTATTCATAGGTCTTTCTCAGTTAGAAAACGTACAAGAAATAAATAAGAGTCATAAAAAACAAATGCATTAATTTTAGAGATATGGAAAATTTATCCATGGCATGGAGATGTATTTATGAAATCTGAATTTTAACAATGTTCTACAAAGGATTTATCCTGTTTGGTATTGTTTCATGTGTTATTTTCTTATTGGCTTACATTAAAACTTTAAAATTTTGAATGTTGGTTACATATTTGATCCATTAATTTATTCAAATTCTGTACATTTCCCGAGATAAATCTAAGAATACATTGAATATGTTTTTATTATACTAAACTCATTGCCGGATATCAATGTGTTTTTAGTATCTCATTGTCTCTCATCTAGTTTTTACAGATGATATTACCTACAAAAGTATATCTACTTTTAAATTTATGATTTCAATATTTCTTTATTAAATCTTTCATTAAATGTTTTCTTTAATTTATTCTAGCTTACATTTTATGATTACAAAGATTAGTACAGAATCAAATTTAATTCACATATTAAACGAAATACAGCAAAGTTACTGAATTTAATTAGAATTTTGTCTAGAGGTTCATTTAAAATGATTTAATAGAAAATTTATTTAATTTATAAAACAACCCAAATACAAAAAAAAAAAAAAAAAGGAAAA